TCCCCCCTCTCCCTCTTTCTTTTTCTCTTTCTCTCCATCTCTCCCACGCTTTCTCTCCATCTCTTTCTCTCTCCATTTCTTTTTGTTTCTCTTTCTCTCTCTCCATCTCTCTCTCACTCTCTCTCCATCTTTCTTTTTCACTTTCTCTCCTTCTCTCTCTTTCTCTCCATCTTCATTTCTTTCTCTTTCTGCATTTCTCTCTCTCTCTCTCTCTGGCATGCTAGAATTTTGCAGATGGCAGCGCCTGGTGCAAAGAGAGAGGATGCTTATCAGACTGCAGTGGGGAGGATAGGAGTGCCTCAGATGGTAGGGCAGCTTGCCTTCGGATGTGGTAGAGAGACGAGCGGGGCTGGACCGGCACAAGAGCTGCCCGGAGAAGGAGCAGAAGGCAAAGTGGAGGAGAAAGGCAGGGGAGGGAGTGTGGGAAGCCCCCTCCCCAGCTTGGGAGAACTAGGGAGGGATGCTGCTTAGCTAAACATGCCCCAGCTGGTTGTTTGCTCAGTTCTGGCACTTCTCGCATTCCTGCTGGTTCCTTGCTTGAGTTTTTCTCGTCCTCTTAATCTTTGTTTCCCAGGCTAGACGCTGTGGAAACTTTCTACTCTGGGTCCCTCCACGTAACCTCCCACCTAGGAAGAGCCTGAGGGAAGTTTTAAGTGGGAAGGTCCCCAGGCCCTGTGAGTAAGCTCTTAAGGGGTCTCTCGAAAAGGGTATTTGATAGCTTTCCTCCAAGCCGAGGTCAGGTATATTGGATTTCCATAAACATCAGACGCTCTCAGTGGTTCCTGGATTGAGCTGACTGGGTCGGGGGGAGAGAGAAAGGGAATTGCAAGCTGTGCAAAGGGTGCTTGGGTGGATCCGGGCCGCAGATTTGTCCTGCCTTTCCTTCTGTATTTGGTGGTGTGCTAGGATTCAGCCTGGCAGTTGTGGAAAGAGCTTTCCGAGGTGCGTTGCAATTCCAGATGTGGGAAAAGGAAAATGGGATGTTTGTGGGTAGAGAGGGGTTAAACGACACCCTCGGTAGCGGGGCATCTCTCAAGGGATGTAATTTGTGTTGGCTGTGACCGAATTGTACAGTTGTATGTAATTATAATTATATGACTCAGAGTATTTGAGCCAATTTGATGGAGCGGTTAAAAGCGCTGGTCTAGAAACCAGGAGGCTGTGAATTCTAGTCCCGCCTTAGACATGAAAGCCAGCTGGGTGACATTGGGCCAATCACTAGGAGACTCTGAGTTCTAGTCTTGCCTTAAGCATGAAGGCTGACTGGGTGACTTTGGCCCAATCTCCAGAAGACTGGGAGTTTTAGTCCCGCCTTAGACATGAAAGCCAGCTGGGTGACATTGGGCCAATCACCAGGAGACTGTGAGTTCTAGTCTTGCCTTAAGCATAAAGGTTGATTGGGTGGCTTTGGGCCAATCACCAGGAGACTGTGAGTTCTAGTCCCGCCTTAGACGTGCAAGCCAGCTGGGTGCCATTGGGCCAATCACTAGGAGATGGTGAGTTCTAGTCTGCTCTGTACATGCTCAAAATCTCACAGGGCCTGCTCTGAGATTGAAGAATAGCCACATCTCTTGCCAACTGGGGAACAGTCCACATTTCTTCAATTTGCTGAGATTGAGAAAAACTAAGCCGTACCCAGCCTGGTTGCAAATCCCAGGAATGTAGGCTAGACTTGATTTTTTTTTTTTAAAAAAAGCACCATCCCAGATGTACCTACGTCCAAATACGCATTTGTACCATCGGTGTTGTGTTGTTTGTCAACCATAAGGCCCAGATGTCTCCATCGCTCCTGTTTTAACTCAAGGAAGGCTGTGCTTTCTTCTCCAAAGTTGAAAGATTGATCATTTTTCCCCCCTCTTGATCAGATTATGGATAGGAAGCGGATGGGCTGAAAAATTACCCTTTGCTGGGTGAGAAATATTACAGGTGGCTCAGCCTTTAAGCAGTTTTGTGCTTGCTGTGTTCAACTTACGGCATCCAGACAGCTGAGACTCTTCCAGAAAGAAAACTATTTTTTTTAAAAAAAAATTCTTTCCTCTTGGAAAGTCGATCTTCTTTCACTTGTGGTTGAGCGCTTACCAGTTCTAGAGCTGTGGATATTTTTCAGAAGAGGAGGGCAAACGTAAGAGATCGTTCTCGACGTAGTTATTTAGTGACCGTTCAAAGCTACAACGGCACTGAAAAAAAATGTGACTTACCACTGGTCCTCGAACTTACAACCGTCACAGCATCTTGAAACTCACACGATCAACATTTGGGCACTTGGCAACAGGCATGTAGGTTTGCAGCCCTGTGTGTGTGTGTGTGTGTGTGTGTGTGAGAGAGAGAGAGAGAGAGAGAGAGACATGGCTGGCTGGGGAATTCTGGGAGTTGAAGTCCCC